CCTCTATTGTTCCCCATTACTCTTCCCTGGGTTTCTGTAAAAGGCTACACTGTATTGTGTAGAACTTTGAATATCGTCAGCAGAACTAGTGGCGTACCTCTACACCTTTTAATTAAAACTGTTGTGGATAAACATCTTAACTCATGTACACACCTAGCAGGAGTTATTTTACTAGATGACCAGCATCCTTGTCACTCAAAGCTCTCTACGTCTCAGACCTCAGGTTAGACCAGGAGAAAGTATAAGACTTCCTGCACCTACTACTAATTATAAAAACACAACGATACCGTATTTAGCTCCTATCCTAACCGAGGAAGAAAGAGTTAGAAATTAACTAACTAATCAACTTTTGTTTTCGTAAGCGAGATTACACAGATCGCTGTTACTTAAGCATTATGTATCTAGTGGCTTATATGACTGTTTATCTGTTAACTCTGGATTTCCAAAAAAGTGGTAGGAGTAATTACTTTAATCCCTTATGTTTAATTTCAACTTATTCGATCTAAGAATGTATGCATATACTGTTCCTCTCCAACTGATGCTATGTGACAAGCTGGAAATTCTGTATTCTTTCAGAATAAAGCCATTGTATGGGCCTTTATAGGCCCATACAATAATCCACTGACTTTCATATCTATAATTAAACTAGAAATTCCTCACATGGCTGAAATGATACGAAAACAATTACGGTAAAAACGTGTTTTCTTCTTATCTTCGACTGTCAACAGCCGTTTCACAGGAAAGAACGGACTCCAGTGCAGTATATTCGTCCACTGACAGGTAGCCGGATATCTCACGAGTGAGTGCTACAGATGACGCAAGTTAGTGAATGCTTGATGAGTTTTCTGCATCCAAGCTGAGATTTCGTTAAAAACCAGCCCGTTCAAGTTGATGTAACTCCCCAAGCAAATTATTTACCGCACTCCACTACCTTAATCACTATCCTCAAACTGGGAGAAGTACATATCAGTCTTACCCGCCATTTGAGTGATGCTGAACCCATGCCAAACATACTCAAATTTCTGCTTGTGCTCAGAAAACCCTACATTTCATCAGTCTTCGTCTAGCAGGACATCGTCTGCGTACCTCAGGTCAACCAAATATCATCCACGGAGCAGATCTTTCAGCTTGGTATCTCGCTAAATGTGCTGATGTGAGGAGAGGTAACCTAATCAGTTACGCAGTAATGCGAGGTCCTATAGTGACTGATTGTTGAACTACTCTTCAAAGTGTCCACTGAATTCCTTATGAGGTTATCCAGGGCTCATTTTTGCAGTAAGGGTCTTTCTAATCGTCTTCTCTCTGCTAGTGTCCTTCACAAGCCTAAATAACTGCCAAGTATTACCTAATGCTCACGTCTTCCTGATGGCTCTCGGTACCTACCACTGCTTTCGCTACTCACAGTCATTCTAAAATGTTTTCTCGCATCAATCAGTTCGAATGACGTCGTGTAAGCCTACTGGCTTTTGCCAACACAACTAAACCGGAAGAGAATTGCTACCATGATGAGATAGATGTTTCGCTGTTTCCTCATTTAAGGCAAACTTGACATTCCCATCTTCCCGTTGAACATAGGCTGCACTGTCGCATTAACCGCAAGTAGGAGTGTGAAAACAAACATGTGCCAAGAGTCCAAACAAGTAACCGATAAACAGCGGCAATCCTCTCCAACGACGACTAGTAAGCAATGTGTTCATAGTTGAAATGTGTGCTGAGACCGTTTAATCTCCGGATACCAGGAAGGAATTTCACAGATCATTACACTCACTAGATGGGGTTAAGTGAATAACTGCACTTGAGTTCAGTACGCACGTCTGAGAAAACAGCATATACCTGTGACGTGATTCCAATTCTCTCAAGAGGCACACAATTGCATGGGAATGCTATACACTGTGAG